AGTACGTTACGTAGTAGTACGTAGTACGTAGTAGTACGTAGTACGTAGTACGTAGTAGTAGTAGTAGTAGTAGTAGTAGTAGTAGTAGAGTAGAGTAGAGAGAGAGAGAGAGAGAGAGAGAGAGAGAGAGAGAGAGAGAGCTGGGTGGCCATGCTTTACATGTGGAATTGCAGTGGAGTCAGTAAAGCTATGGTGGGAATAACCTAATTTTATGCTGCCTGCTTTGACAGTGATCCCCAAGTATATAGAGCTCACGAGCCGTGCATATACACTTTTAGGGCAACCTATGGATGCTTTAAACTTAGTACGCAGTCTACTATATTTCATAGCTTCATGATATATCATGATCCCTACTTATCAATAGAGTGCATCATATACTGTGATCCAAAAATCTAGGGTTTTTTTCCTTTAGCATTGGACCCATGGCATTGATCATTATTTCCTGTCTTTACTCTATATTTTCGTCTAGGGCTTGAGCATCGATTCAAAGAAGGTGCAGCCTAGAAAATTCTAGGGTTCTTTGAGGCATAATTTCCTGATTTGGTCATTTGTGTAATTACATTTAAGTTGGTCCCAGCTCTAGGAGAGTTGCCATATTGGGGTCGTGGCATTTATTTCAGTGCAGTATTTGGGTACATAGCTATACTCCTGAAACCCTAGAGCTTTTGAATCATGAGCTTCTGTTTTTTACACCATTTTGGTTTGTGCCTTTGAAGGCTTGCTCTCTATGTATTCTTTAAGATTGGTGGGTCATCTTCCTTTCAACTGGTTAATTGTGCAAAAATGAGGCCAAATGAAAGCTTTTATCATGCAGTTGTGGTGGCTCTATAAATTAAGATACAGAAGATGGCCATTTTGATAATTTTGCTTCCACTAACAAAGGGTGGAAATCTTTTCTCTTTTTCTCTATTGGTAAATAGAGTGGAGGTCCTTTTCACTAGTACTATAAAGGGCTCTTTTAGGGGCTCCTATCTTGATTAAAAATTATTGTAATAATAATGAACTCATATGGAAGGAGTTGTAAGTTTCCCAAATCATTTTTAGCTAGATATTTCCTTTTGCATTTTGTGGGATGTCTAAAAATCACAATGTGTGTAAGGATGTGTATTTACATGTCACTTTTTAAACAGTATGGACCGGAAGGCAGTTGGCTGTGATAGCGCGATACATATAGTTTACCTATTTTGAGTAGAGATCATCGCATACCCTGTTATAGATGGCATTAATCATTCGTGATATTAGGGTGCCCATGGAGTATCCCAAGACTAACCTGGGTCGATTCGAAATGGAACCAAATTGGGTCGGTCCCAATAATATGGTGTCGGGCCAAAATTATGTCGAACTTTGGTCTGCTGAAAATCACGCTAGGCCTATGATGGGTTTTTCGGTTCATGACCCTATTGAGTAAACCAGCTTTGGTCATGGGCGACCACATCCTGAGGATTATCGAGCCCGGTTGAGTTATCAAATTGGCAGCCAACCACTTGAGATATCAATGCTAAGCAGTTGAGTTCTCCGATTAGTAGAACTTCTTGAAACCTTTGGACTTCAATGCTCTCCCTGGTAAATATCTGGTTCTCATAAGAAGTATATGAGGCAAGGAACAAGTTTATTATTATCTGATATCCAGGATCATTTGCACAAAGATTTGGGAACTACCTATTTAATTATCAAATGAACAACACAATGTACATTGTTTTGGAAAAAATGGATTTACCTTCATGAGACCCCGTTCATGTTTCTATTGACGAATATTTGAGTTGTAGTAGTCTAACCAACAATCTCTTCCCTTTTTCTTCGAAAATAAGTGGAAGAGCTATTGGTAGTTTCTAGCAACCATTAGTTCACTCTCTTCCACACATAATGCATTAAAACTTTAATGCATTTAACCCATATGCCCAAGTTGTTCAAAATCACAATAGGGGGAAGGGATTGTCTACAAAGAGACTATTTATCTTTTATACATGGAGGTGGCAGTCATTCTTGTCCCTTGAATTCTAAAATGGGTGGTTGTGAGAGTATCACTAAATAGAGGCAAAATTTCAAAAAAAATGTCTCGGATTTCGTGACTCACTTCAAACTATCCAATTTGACATCTGATGAGTGGGAATGATTGTGATCTCCATGTACAAAAGATAAATGGTTTTTTTTGCATTCTCTATGGGAAAAGCCATGAATGAATTAATGTTGGTTTACTAATATATCGTGAGGGAGGAGCCAAACATAGAAATTTACACAGCTCACTTGAGAAGATACCACTCATTCTTCTTCATTTTGGTACTTTCATGGTGGTATCATTGAACTGTAGGGCAGAAGGCCACAAATTCCTAAATTGTGGTTTGGCTGAGGATATATAGTAGTAGTTCTTTCCTTGGTCCTTGTGGACTGTTTAGAGCATGTAAAAGAATATTGTAAGGCACGAAGACGCATGAGGTAACTCCGACACTAATAACTGCTAGACACAAAGATTTACGAGCTCTTAATGTTCAAAAATTCCATTTGGTGCAGCGCTTGGGATATGGCCTTTACAGAGCAGAATGGCAGAACATGTTTCATGTGGTTGACCACAAATAGTTGGGATAAGTCTCTTAATGATGATGATACTACAGTCCTTGGGAAATAGAACACAAACCTTCTGCGCCTAAATCTCACTTGGGTAATTGGGAATATGGAGCAAAGTAATCAAGGTATAAGTTTGAGGAATTGGTATGCATGCCAAAATTAATCCAGTTTGAAAATTCATCAGATAAATTTCAAAAATTCTGTCTATGCTACGAAAATTCTTGCAAAATGTAAGAGTATTTAGTCCCTTAATTATAGATTAATCATGGTCTAATACTCAGTGAGATGTCAATAACATGGAATCGTATAATATCAAGGACGAGTGTTGGACTGCCCCATTCTAAAGAGCATCACACTTACTTAGGAATACAGTAAACTCTAAATGGGTGTTTTGCTTAAACAAAAGTGGATTTTTGCTTTAGTAACTGAGGTTATGGAGCTCAGCACGAATGCATGTCCCAAGTTATATATCCTAAGGTGTGTGATGTGATCCCACATGATAATATTGTGTATCTAGTCCCAGAGGCAAAACTCTTAGTTATGGGGGATTTGGTGACTAGAGACTTCACATACCATCCTTGATTAATCGTATGATCAATTTAAAAAAAAAGGAAAAAAAAAAAGAATATGACTCTGAGGTTTTAGAACCCAAGATCTCGTTGTCGATTTTTCTAGAACAAATTGATCGATAACATAATGTGAGAGTTTTGGGCTGAAGCACATCTCCCTAGCATGATGTTGAGGTTGTGGGATCATATGTACAGCAAGATTCAGAAGTACAGCTAATCTTTTCCCTAAATTCCTCACATCATGATACTAAATACTTTCACTTTACCATCTATAGTTTTCCTTGTAGCCTAATGTTAATGAGTGCGCATGGACCCTGGCGCGAATACCTCTTATAGTTTTCATGTTCCCATCTACAGTTTTCATAATGCACAAGTCTCAAAAAGGTTAGAAATGTCTGTTTTCCGTAAGTTTAGGATTGGTGATGTGATATCAAAACATTTAAGAAATTATGGGGTTTAAAATTTTAATTCATCATTATCAACGTCCAAGTTTTATCCTAATTATTTGAGTCACTTACACGATTCTTGTTTCTCAATTCTGCTTTATCAAAGGTCATACTTTTAGTCAAACTATAAGTCATCATATCTCTTCTCACTAATTTTATCTATGTCCTCTTGGACCTTCAACTTGCCCTTTTAGAGCCTTCCACTTGAACCAAATTGCCCCTCCTAACTAGTAATATATTAGTTTAAGCTGCACATGGCCAACCCACCTAAGTGTACTTTGCCTCATCTAATTGCCCATTGGAGCCGCACCTAAGTTACCTCATATGTATTCATTTAGAATTCTATGATTTCTTGTCTTGTCACTCATCCATCTCACCATCTTCATCCCAGCTACACCCGTCTCACTGCTATGTTGTTTCTTGACAACCCAACATTTCGCCCCATAAAACATGGCTGGTCTTACAGGTGTCTAATAAAACTTTCCGCTTAGTTTCATTTATATGCGGTGATCACATGAAACTCTGGATACACATCTACACTTTTCCAACCTAGCTCTAATTATAGGTATGTTATCTTCCACAATCTCTCTATTCTCCTTTATTATCAATCCAATGTATCGAAATGAATCTCCTTTAGGTATTTCTTGGTTATTACTATTAACTACTTCCTCGTTCCTATTATTACTAAATTTGCTTGCTATATGTTTTATCTTAGTTCGACTAATTTTAAAACCTTTCGATTCTAGAGCATCCCTTCACAATTCTAACTTTGCATTGACGCTCCCTTTAGTCACATCAATCAAAACTATGCTATCAGCAAGTAACATGCACAACGGTACCTCTTCCTGTAAATGCTTAGTTAACTCCCCCATAATTGAAATAATGATATATGGGCTCGACGTTGACCCCTGATGTAGGGCTGCTGTCACTAAAAACTTAGTTGTTTCTTCACTAGTTATCCTCACACTAGTTAGCACTCCCTTATACATTTCTCTCACCACGTCAGTATATCATCTATAGACTCTTTTCATACATTTTAGATATTGATAATAATCTATTGTAATGAATAAAATGGTATAGGTGACTTAAAAAGGAGATGTTTGATGTTTAAATATTCATGGAATATTGATATACATATATTAATTCTCACTTCATGATTTAATTGCTCATATTTTATTTTTTTTGCATGTGTTTCGTTGTACATTTTTAGAAATTCATTTTTTTTCTTTGGAACTACATAAATAGAAGAATTATTGTTTATAATCTTCTATGAGATCTGCTTTTAGAGTTGTTCAAAGGAATTTATTGTTTTCTTTCTTGGATGAGAAACTAGATTGCAATTATTTAATGTTTGCAAGACCCAATCAAGTTCCCTATTCACATTGTATGTTTATTTGCTTAATGAAATCATTCCCCTAAAAATCTTGTTGATGCTCATGATTTCTCATGTGACAGGAGCTACTATCGATGCACCCATGTTTCATGCAATGTGAAGAAACAAGTTCAACGCCTGTCAAAGGATGAAGGGATCGTAGTGACAACATATGAAGGGATTCACACCCACCCCATTGAAAAACCAACAGACAACTTCGATCATATTTTGAGTCAAATGCAAATTTACACAAACTTTTAGGTTGCCATGTTGAATGGTTAAAAACCAATGTAAAGACTCACATCTTCGATCAGTATTCTAGCAGATATTAGTTAAAATCTAGAATTCAAACCTTCGGTTCTTCAAATAAAAAGATGTATGCTTATCATATGGTTGAATATTAAAAGTTTTATTCATTCACATAGATCATTCTATTCTATGCATATATAAGCATCCCCTCCACCCCTCCTCTCTCTCTACTCTCTCCCTCTCTCTGTGGTGGTAAAAACCCTAATTTTTATCTTTTGAATTGATTGACCAATTATATATTTCTCGAGTTCATAAAGCATAGAGCTGAAAAATGAGGACTCCATAAACATTGCCAATGAGGATAGAGACTAGATACTATAGCAATGGAATCGGGCTCAAGTCTGGTCAATGATGGAACTTCTTGGGCCCAAAAGGCCCCTAATTTAACTTGTTAGAAGAATGTCTAGGCACCATAAATATCGTGTCGAATTCCCTGCAGGCACATATGCACTGATCGGGAATGCTGAATCCTATGACTGCATGTTTCACACGTTGTGTAAGAATTTGAAACTGGGCTGGACTCAAACGAGTAACTCAGACTTAGTTTCTCTCTTTAAAAAATTTTGGTATAGTTTCTCCCTATGTTTCGGGTCGAATGAGCCAATGAGTGAAATCCATTGGCCTTGGAAATGCAAAAAAAACAAGTTTTGGTGTGGAAATGAAATCATAGAAAAGTAAATCTTATTTCCATGATTTTGATTTTCTTGATTTTAAGTATCCTGGTCATTAAACAATCCAAACGGTAGATTTTGACAATATCCAATATATGAGGAACCATGCCTTAAAATCTATGTACCCAAATAAGCCCTAAGGGAGACCCGATGTAGAGACCTTATTGTTTAGATGTAATGCCATGTGGGCGGACCTCTAAACTAATAATGGATTAATACCCCAAACCGAATAGAGATGAAACCACGCCTCAGTGCACGAGGCAGGCAGCACCCAGGTTCAGTAATGGAACATATATTTAAGCGAAAATATATCCTTATTCTCTATTTTTTATTTTTGCATCTCTTGAGACCCAATGATTGAAAATATTACTTGTAAGCAAAAGGTCTCCATCTTTTCTATCTTACAACCCCTGGACTCCTTTGACCAAGAATTTTTTACCGAAATAAAAACTAAAATGACACTTTCAACACTTTAATTTTTCTTTCACGTTTCTCTCAAAGCACCTATCTCTCTCTCAAAATTCCATTTCTCTCTCTCTCCCCTCATTCTCTAAAAAAACCCACAGATCTGATGCCCTATTACCCTGTTCAGCCTCAGCCAACCGATCTAAAAAACCCACAGATCTCTATATCTCTCTCTACTTCACAAAAATTGAAAACCAACCCAAAGAATACACCCATAAAAGAAGAACCAAAGCGATAAAACTCAACAAGATGAACGTGGCCTTAAAAAACCACCCACCAGGCAGAGGGCTCCCATCTGAAACAGGTTGTAACTCCACAGTCTCAGATCCAAAGTTCTTCATCACCAAAACCCTATTCTTCCTCGACCTAATCCTCTGCAAGTTACAAGTAACTCTAATTTTTGCATACCCAACTCCATTAGAGAAGCTCAAACGACAATTCGACCTCTTCAAACTAGATAATGAAGGTGGAACTGTACCAGTCGCCATTTTCGACCAAACCTCGAAGAATGTCTCCTTAAAGCTCAAAGAAAAGCCATAAATTGGCTAATTTGAGAAAGATCAAAGGATGTGGAGCTCGAAATTGTGGATGTAAGAGCTTCACTGTGATAAAATTATGTTTTGGAGATGAAAATTGTGAATATAAGAGCCTCACTATAATAAAAATTAGGGTTTGGGGAAAGGGATTTATGAATAAAATGAGAGGGGGTACCTGCAAATAGAGACAAGGAGATGGACCTTTGGCAAAATAATATTTTTTAAAGTATGTTTTATTATTATTATTACTATTATTATTATTATTATTATTATTACTATTATTATTATTATTATTATTATTATTATTATTATTATTATTATTATTATTATTATTATTATTATTATATTGTTATTATTATTATTCCTTCTCTCTTTATTGGTCTTTGGCAGTTTTGTAAAGGAATCTTATGGGGAATTAGGGTTTATGCTTAAAACAACTTTAAGAAAACACTGTGAAAACTGCTAGAAGAGAGAGGGAGGAGAGAGTGATCTATAGGGCTTCAAATCTGTAAGATTTTTAGAGAGAAAGACAATGTAGAGAGTGGAACATGTACAACTTTGAGGATTAGTTAAAGAAATAGAATTTTGAGAGAGAGTGAGTGAGAGCAATTTGAGAAAGAGAGAGAGAGAGAGTGAAGTGCTTTGAGAGAAACGTGAAAGGAAAATAAAAGTATTGAAAGTGTCATTTTAGTTTTTGTTTGGGTCAAAAATTCATGATCAAAGAGGTCCAAGGGTTGTAAGATAGAAAAGATGGAAACCTTTTGCTTACAAGTAATATTTTCAATATTTGAATCTCATGAGATATAGAAGTAAAAAATAGGAGATAAGGAGATATTTTCCCTATATTTAATCTAAGCCAACCTAGCCTAGTCTAATCTAAGCAACCACCACACATAAAGGTTTGACATAATTTTCTCCAGAGTTATGTACCTCCAAGTTGGTAGGTAGGTTCCTTGTCAGAGAAAAAGCTAAAATATGGCCCAAGTCTAGATACACTCAAACAGGTACGAGCTTACCACTTGAGGAAAAGTTTTGGTCTTACTATTGTGCGGTGCTCTTAAGGCGAATAATTGTGGAGGGTTACTCACCTTAAGGTTCCACAACTCCCAATTGTCCCGACTTCTAGCCGAATATTGCCCCTCATTACTCTTTACACTGGTTTTAGGGGTTTTGAAAAATATGAAATAGCTTTTTGGGTATCCCATTAAGAATGTGCAATTGTGTGTGAAAAATAACACTCTTGTGAGTGGATGTAAAATTATGGCAAGCACAAAGAAATCAAACTAAGTATTGTAAGCAAAATACTTCAAGCTACTCAAATATGGGAAGTAGGATAAAGCGAAGTAAATATTATTATGTTTTTCAATAATTGAAGTGAATGAAAACAAAAAAGGAAACTGAGACCTGGGTAGGACAGAGCCCACTGGGGTTTAGTTAATGCCAGCATTTAAGGAACATATGAGCCCTGGGTCCTCCCAGTGGATTATGGTGGTCTCTGGATCAAGTCTGAGGTTTGTACCAAGAAAATGGCGGATATCAAAAGCTGTGTGATTGAAAATTTTAATTTAATTTTATATTTCAAATTTCGTGGATGTGGTGTACATTTTATTTTTTTATTGGGCTTAATTTTTTAGGAATTATATTGTGGGGTTAATCTCCAATATACTTAGTTTCTTATTTTTACTATCCATGATTACTATTCATGGGTACTGTTCATGTTATTTTTCACAGGTGTTGTTCGCGTATTACTGTTCACATGGATATTTTTAAAATTTAAGTATTGTTTAGGGGTACTTTAGAGTTTTAAATTTTACTTGGGTCTCAAGTTAATTTTAAAGTTTCATAGGCTTATAAAAGGTTGGATGTCAAATTTTGGGGCTTATGTTACTTAGAATTAGTTTAATTTTATGAAATAAGAATGTTCTTCTCTTGGATTGATTTACAACTATGGTTTTTCTCCATTCTTGATGATTTTAACTTATTTGACAATCGGAAAACATATAGATTTAATTTCTGACTTTCTTAGTGGTATCAGAGCACAGCTTGAAGGTAGCTAGAGATTGTGATGGCTGGTTTTGTAGCTCTTAGCCATAAGGATGCCGATCTAATCGAATATACAAGGAAATCAACAACTTGACGTCGAGAGTTATACAACTGTTGCGCAAACGAGAATAGCAATAGTGTACCCTTAACAAAGAGAAATCTACATGAATAGTCCAATTGTGAGGGTTTTTATGGAGGATGACGGTTGAAAATTCCCGTTTTATGCATGCACTCTGCATGCAGAGTTTCACGTTCGGGGGAGTTGATTGTGGGATTTCAACATTAAAATTAATCTGCTTAGGTTTGATGAAGAACTAGTTGAAGGTAAAGAACAAGTAGGTTTGAATCTTCAATTAGAATCATCCTTCATTTATGTCACGACTGACCCTATCTTTGACGAAGGTCCTATTTTTTTGTAAAGAATAAGATGAAATGAAAAAAGTTGGCCTTGAGGAGGCAAAGATATCTAATTTCCTCATGAATGAAAAGATAGACAAGCAATATGTTGACTTGAACCTAGAGGAGCTCGAGCCTATTGAGATTTTAGAGTAAGACAGTAAGAAGTTGAGAAATGAGGTAATAGGGACAAGCACCATAAAGAACTATTTCTGTCACCAATGGTGGGGCTAACCTTTCGTGTTTCCAATTAGAGGGTTCTATCCCTACAATGCCAGGCTACTAAATCTGGGTGCATCAAAATTCTCAACAACTTGTTTGAAGATATTATCAAAGATATTTTGATCAAGACTATGACTCATATTTTCCAATTGCAAGCCTGAATGTCAATCCGCAATATTCGGGTTGAGAGAGAACTTGTCGCTAGATGAGGATTCCTATCAACTCATTTCAAAACTCAAGGGCAAATTTTCTCCAACTAGGGGAGAATGATGATCAAGAGCTGAGTGATTGAAATTTTCATTTAATTTAATTTTTTTAACTTCATGGATGTGGGTATATATTTTATTTTATTTTAAGGTTAATTTCTAAGGAATTATATTGTAGGGTTAATCTTTAATACTTGGTTTATATATTATTATTATTATTATTACTATTCACCAGTACTGTTCATGGGTATTGTTCACGATATTGTCCATGCATTACTGTTCATAGGGGTATTTTTAAAATTTAAGTATTGTTTAGGAGTATTTAAAAGTCTTGAATGTTTACTTGGGTCTCAAGTTAATTTTAAGATTTCATAGGCATATAAAAAGCTAGATGTCAAATTTTAATATGCTTATGTTATTTATGTAAGAAGAAAGTTCTTAGCTTAATTTAATGCCATATTTTTTCTCCATTCTTGTTGATTTTTATTTGTTTGATATTCAAGAAAAATGTGGATTTAATTTTCCACCTTTCTTTCCTGCATCATAAACAAGGAGCTTCTGGAGTCATAAACGCCCAGAGACGCATTGTGCGTCG